GCTGGCAGCACAGGGAGAGAGTTGGGTTGGAATGATCCTCAGAAAGGTCTACATCTAGGTCTAGTGAAGAAGATGTCACTGACAGATTGTATAAGCATATATTCACATCATGAAAAACTTTTCATGAACTTCATTTTTAATGACTGAACACTATCTGACTGTATGCACATATCCTCATTCATTCTTCACCTGTGTGGAATGGTTAGATCATTTATTAAGATAGTGTTACAAGCCACATTATTTCAGGTTTTTTTTATTATTGTTTTAGGCCAGCAGAAGTGGAATATCTAGGTCAAAGCATACATCAACATTTACAAAGCTCTTGGTATGTATTGCTGAGCTGCTTTCCAAAAATGCTCTTTTAATGTTTACTTTCATTGGCTGAGCCTAAGAACACGTAGCTTATCACTTTCTCTTCAGTAGTTCTTTCTAATCATTGGTAAATTGATGAACAAAAAAATTGCTAATTTGCATTGCTCATTAAGCTAGACTATATTCTCCTCACAATTTAAGGAGCCACACCACAGGATCTAAATTTCAGCCTCCAAGGAGGTACAGTAGTGGCTAAATCTCACCTGTGTTGATCCATGGCCATGTTCAGAAATCACATTTATTACTGTGCTGTGAGTCTGTGGAGAGGACCAGAGTGTTCCATAGATGCCTGGGTGTTCCACAGGAACAAATCACATGGTAAGCACTCAATAAGAAAGTATTATTATTACTCTTGTCAGTACACTGCCCGATCTTTCTGTCACTGTTTCCCTTTTCCCCACCCCAGGAAAGCTCTGTCCTCTTCTGCAGAGCTCTTGTATGACTCTGCTCTCCAACAGGAATGCCTCATGCTCCACCCCATTGTCCTCCACCTGGGCTTGCTCGCGACTTCCCTGAACCATGCAGCCTCAGTGCTCCAAGCAATGGCACTCTATTGGATGCATCTGACAATGACTTAAGGAGCCCCAGGACTCCTCCTTTGCTGTTGGGTTGAGTTGTCCTGTCCTTCGGGCAATTTGAAGTGTCCAGTGAGTCTGCCCTGCCTTCACAGAGGGCTGAGGCTCCTCCACGATAAGTCTTCTGTTCTCATCTTTGCATATATTCTTGAACACCCAGGAGTACTCTGTGGGGGGGTCTAGCCAGGCTGGGTTCTGCCCTGGAAGCTGCCAGCTGAACCTTGTCTTCCTTGTCTATCCTCAATTCCCAAACGGTTTGACAATGCCTTGAGGTGGTGATTTTTAACCAAAGCCTCTGTAGCATCATCCCTCCAGAACTTGTGTATTGTAGAAATCATGTCATCACATGCAATTGCTATGGAAGAACCACAGTTTAATGAACAAGAGAGGTGGTTTTGACTTATCCATTTATTTCAAGGACCCTTGAAGTTCACGCCCCGGAAGCACTGGCAATGACCTCAGTCTTCATTCATGGAAAAAAGAAAGAATCCACTTGAATTTCTGTTATACCACTGCCTCCAGGGGGTCAAGGACCCCTTCTGTCCCAGGAGACATCACTGTGAGGACACCTGTTCTCAAAGTGTGGGCCCTGAACGACTTGTAGCAGCAGCACTTGGAAACTGTTCAGAAATACAAAGTCTCAGCCTGAATCAGAAGCGGCGCAGGGGTGGGTTCTAACCTGTGGCAAGTTCTCTAGTTGATTCTGATGCACATTCCAGTTTGCACACAGGTGTTGACAAAACAGGGAAATTTCCATAAGAAAAAATATGAATATATTGCCTAGCATGTTGTTTGGCACACAATAAATGCTAAATAATTGGATAAATAAAAATGCTCATTCTCCTACCCATTCATCCACCCCAGACTCATACAAACAAGTCTACTGAGAGAGAATGGAGGAGCAAGGCTTAGGATTGGGTTAGATGTGAATGAGGACTAGAGGCCGGGTAGGGGGATCAACACTTGCATGAATATCACGATCTCGGGAAGTAGAAGGGAGAAAGGAAATGGAAATGTTGGAAGCATCAGTTTATCTGTGAAGGATCTCCTGCTCCAAGGTTTTGGAAAAGGGGAGAAGTCTTGAATTCTAACCTCAATGTTTTGGTGCACAAGTTTCAGCCTGGGCTGGCAAGCGGGTCTTCCTGCCTGGTCTCCCACTGAAACCACCTTCCAGCCCTCCTTGGAATGTACTGCCACAAATTCTCTTTGCAATGTCCTTATTCCACTAGGAAAGTCTAGCTTTTCCTTCCTGACTGGCCTCAATGCCAGCCTCTCTGTGGCATCATCTCCATTCTTCCTCCTCTGAAACCCCATCTTCACACCTCCACCTCCACCCCAGACATCCATGAGTTCCTCTGACATGGCCCTGTCTCCATGCTGGCCACAGAAGAAGCATTAGTTACAGACTACAGTCTCACTGACATTTTATGAGTGACTCAGACACCGAGAAGCACCCATTGGGATGCCTTAGGCAAGATACCTGGTAGTACCAGGACTTAAGTTTCCCCACTTATCGAATAGGATTGCATCTAAAGATTTCCAAGGTTTTCTCCCAGCCTTCAAGTTTCTAGCTCTCAGTTATACTGTTTATATTTGTCACATGAACTAACTAATCTGTAAGAAGCCCTGCCTTTCTATAGGATGGATAAGTTCAGGGATAGGACCCAGCTTCAGGCCACCAGCCTGCTCCCTCCAGACCAACACAGACCCAGTTGAGTGACCTTAGAAACCCATGCACATCTAGACTGTGTGCTGGAACCTTTTGACTGTTGTAGCATTGTGATATTGGTATTTTGGTTTTAAGGGGAAAAAAGTTATCTCACACATACATATCTCAGTGCTGTTGGGACAACTCTAATAGGCTGGTAGTGGGGGACACTAGCCAGGAAGTTCCAGGGCAGTGCTAACCACGTAGGCCTTGAATCAGACAGCCTTGGGCATCAAATCTGTTATTGCCTGTGGTCTCGCTAAGACATTAGTGGACATGTTACTTATCCTTCCTGTGCCTGTCTTTTCTGCAGCACCAGCTGGGCAGTAAGTTGCAAGGCTGCTGTGAGGTTAAATGAGAAGTCATAACTGCATGGTGCTCTATAAATTGGAGAGGTCATTGAGGACACAAGCTCCTCCTGTCATAGGGTGGGGACATGTACCATCCACATGCCCCATTCCACACCCCAAAGTCATCGGGCATTCCCAGGAAAGATGGCAACCACTGAGTACCTTCCATACTAGCACAGTCACAGGGCACCTGCCAGCAGCTGAACCTGGGGGAGAGGCTCCCAGTTTGCCCTTCCCCACCTCAGTAAGCCAGAAATGAGGACTCAGAGATGTTTCTGGCATTTGGGGGGGGGGATCTAAATGTCTCCCAGAAACTGCAAATTCTAAAGTTGTCCCAGAAACTGCAAATGCCAGAAAAAATAAGATGAAATTATTATAGGACACCCTATCTTTAACAAAAATGGAAAGGAGGAAGTTTGATGAGAAAAAAAATTGATTGGTGGGAGGAAAACGAGGGATCTAATATTTGGAAGAAAGGTATTTGGAGTCATATCAAACCTCAACACTTTGATTTATTTTGCTATTAGTTTATATTTTGTCATGTATGCAGGCTCGTCTGAGCCAGCCCAGCAATTCACAGCAGCTGGAAGGGAAACATTTGGTCATATGTCCAATTCCTGTGGGAGTAAGGGAACAAGGCAGCCTGTGTTGAGAGCCATCCGGCCCCTCCCCTGATCTGTCAACAGGCAGGGCCCTCCGTGTGCCCAGCAGGCCGGGGTCCCCAGGGTAGCTATTCATGCATGTGTCCCAAGGCCACTTGGAACACTTCAGAGAAGGCACAGGGTGGATGCTGCTGGGCTCTACCTAGGTGCTCTCCAATCTCCCTTACCCACAGTTTCTGGGTACTTTTTCTCCAGTTTCAGTCACTTGGCCTCCAGGGACTGCCAGTTTTCAGAGGCTGCTGGGCTTCTGGAGCTACTGTGGCTGCCTGTGCAGAGGGCCACAGAACTGGAATTTTACATCTCCTTACCCAGGGGCAGCTGGAAGCCAAGAGAACCTAAACACCCAGCTCCCATGCTCAAGGCTGGACTCCCTCTGAGGGGTAATTTAAGTTCCAGAGCTCCCCACAGAATCCCATTAAGGCTGGAATGCACAGCTCTTTGCCCTTTTCTTGCTTCCCCCCACCCTTACTGGTGTCTCCTGGGAGACTTCCTCATATATCCCTTGAACAGGAACCCTGGTCTTCTGAGCTTGGTCTAAGATGGAGGCCATGGCTGCTTCTTTCCTTAGACATCCTGTTAGGGAACAGCTCTAGGCTTTGCAGTCCTCTCTGAGTGAGAGTTGGGGCAAGGTCATCCTCAGATCTCGGCTGATGAGATTACTAGATAGCTGCTTCAAATTTGACTCAGTCTCTTTCAGAAATTCTGCTCAATCAGTTTCAGAGTCAGCTAGGTGGGGACAACTGTTTGGGGACAGGGCTGCTGGGTGGTCTTTCTACAAATATGCACAGGGAAAAGCAGATACAGGAGGCTAAGTGACTTGTTCTGACCCTCACAAGCCCCTGGATATCAGGAGAGAAACCTGACTGCTTATGTTGAATCTCCTCCTGCTCTTAGGTGTTTCTTTAAAGAGCTCAGATAAGATACCAGCCCAGTCAGTTGGTGCTACCCTGAGGCTAGGGATGTGAGAAAATTTCAGGAAGTCACTGTGCCTGCCTGGCGCCATGTGCAGTCTTGACACCAGCCCAACTTGGAGATTTTCAGGAAAGAGTGAGTAGGGCAGGAATTTGGAATAAATTGAAATAAAGGGTGAGATCCCAGAGTTGGACATATATTTCCTCTGAAATTAGTTATAACCTGAGTCTCAGGCAGAGGTATGCAAAAGCCCCCATGCCTTCACAGGAGCATCTGGGGTGTGGGAGCTTGTGAGGTCATCAGAGAGTTTGGAGATGGCCTCGGGGCCTCCAGCAGCCTTCAAGTAGGTTGTATTCCCAGCAACTACCCAGATGCTGTACTACTTACAAGTGTCAGAACAGTGAGATTTTGACACGGTGACATTCAGTTTTTCAAGATACCACTGTACCTTTAATTTATTAGCTTTTCATAAAAACACATAACATACACAACCTACAGTATAGAAAGTATAATTTACAAAAATACAAAATCTTGGTTATTTTTTAGTACTCCAACATATTATTGTATGTTATTTCAATATGCATGTTTAAACAACCCACAGTTACTCAGCATGACTATTTCTGTGGGGAATGGTGTCAAATCTCTCCTTTTTTGTTGTTTTTAAAATAAAATATATATTAAGAAAAAGAAACCAACATTGGTTACATGTGCATACTGTAGGTATAAAAGCTTTTGCAGTGGAGTTTGAAAGGAAACACCCATTTACACCATTATTATCCTGTTTTCCAGGATCACTATGTGGCCCAAAGTGTTCTCAACTGAGCATTTAAACAGAAGTTCTTTCCATGTGCAGGGAGCGAGTGCCCTAAGATTTGCATAGTCTTCTTCTTCCATTATGATAATCAACATAAAGCCAACATTGTGGACCTGTTCGGTTTTCAGTCTTTCAGAATAGTGGGCATGGATGATGGGCAACCTCTAGACCAGTGCTAATTCTCAGACTTCTTCAGAGACTCAGGTTGGCATTTAGTCAAAAAACAAAGAAAGACCCTAGAATGAGGCCTTGGTGGACGGATCTTTCTGAGCCCTGGTGGGATTGCCTGTAAGTAGCTGCACCCCAAGTCCTGGCTCCAGAAGGTTCAAAGCACGCTGCTCTGCTGGGTGAGGGGTGGGGTGGAGGCTTCCTTCCACCCAGAAGCGGTCTTACCGGCAGGCACAGGTCTCCACAGACATGTTGGGATAAACCTTCAGAACTACATTCCGGTTCTCATCCAGGAAAAGGACGCCAAGGGAGTTCATCTTGTCGGGAACGCAGCAGGGTTCTGGGATCCCTGGGACAATGCCCACAGCCCTGACAATACTCTGGATGGTGGCATGGTTGGATGGACGGACAATCTGCAAAGTGGGAAAGAAGCGGGGTTACTTAGGTGTGCTGACCTCACCCATCCACCCATGCTGTCCTCGTGGCCCCAGACCATGCTGCTCTGCTGCTGCTATTCCTTGGCTGAGGCCACGAAGGAGGCATCAACCTAGAATAAAGGAGATCCCAGGGCTGGGCACATATTTCCTCTGAAATTAGTCACTCACTGAGTCTTCAGCTTAGGTCTGTAAGAGCCTCCAGGCCTTTCTGCCCCTCTGGCCTCCCTAAGGGATGGCCCATCCCTTACATGGCACTGACCACTTGGGGGCGCTTGAGGGTCACACATCCCCAAGGAGCACTGGGCAGAAGAGGTCCGGGGAAAAAACTGAGGGAGAGGAGGGACCGTTGCTGCCTGGGGCCACAGACAGGCATGCTCTCATGTGATTATGTTGTTATCACTAAAGGGGGAGACCTGGCATATGCACACCAGCATGACGGGCTGGACACTGACATTTCTCAGGTGCTGCTTTACCTGCATCACCCAATTTGTCAGCTTCCTGATTTTATGAAGTGAGTATTACCTGCATCTTACTAGGGAAGACACTGAGGCTTAAAATGATGAACCAACTGATTAAGATGAACCAACTGCTTCAGCTCACTGCTAGCCAGAGAGTTTTATTTATAGTGCAGTTGATGAGCAAGCCCTCTGGTGAGGGGAGGAAGGGAGGAAAGTTGGGCAGAGACACCTGCATTTGTGGGGCTGGTGTCCCGGGAGGTGGGGAGGCAGCAAGCCAGGCTGATAAGGTAAGCACCAGGTCAGCCAGTTGCAAGCCTGAAGAATTCTGCTCTTGCATACGCCCAGGCCTCTACTAGGCCCTTCTAGCACACCCTGTCTCTCTGTCAGGCACCCCCCTTCCTCTCTCTTGCACATGCATGGATTTGAGGAGAAGCCCCTTAACTCCCAAATAGGTTAATGCTGCCCCACATCTGGATCTGGATTTTCCCCAGCTGGCTGATTTATTTATGCTCAAATTGGATTTATGCACTGACTTCCTTTCTTGGAGAGGAAGGCATGACCTGGATTCTGCAGAGTAACTAAGCAGGAGGAAACTGCTGAGTGTCGTGCGTCCACATCACTGGCAGTCAGCACCCACAGCGCCGGCCCTGGGGAGATGGATGGACATAGCCACAACCCTGCCTAGAGGAAAGGTGAGGATTTGAAATCCCAGGGCCAGTGCATTGGGTAAAACAGCTCGGTGCTATGTATCTTGCAGACTGTTGTGCACAGTGACAGCCAGCTGCCCTGGTGTTCCTACCCTGACCTGGAGGAAGGAGGGAGTCCACATTGGAAGAGCCAATGAGGTTAGCACTGGGCTGTCACAAATGCCAGGGTCCAGGCCAGGAACAGAAATGAGGGCCTAAGTCAGAAAGAAGCTTCTAGGACCTGCCCTATGTACAAGGGGATGCATATGCTGAACGTTTGTAGCTATTTGGGAATGCACTTCTAAAGAGATGGAGTCTCCTGCTTTTCCAAAGAAATGTTTTGATTTAAAAATCCCAATTCAACCAAGTCAATACTTCAAAAAGCACAGCCAAAACTAATGCACCCGTGGGCTGTATCTACCCAACTTGGCTTACCTATTCTCTCCTTCGGATAGATGGGAGCTGACGTTATTTGCATTTTGCAGATGTGAAATCAGAGATCACTGGGCAGAGGGACTGGCCAACAGTGGCAGAGCTGAGAGAATCAGACTACATGCAGAATACAACCGTCCTCTGCAAATACAACCCACCTTGGGCATGGGGAACTCGCAGGCTCCAGCACAGTAGTAGGCGTCGAAGGATTTGGGTGAGATAATCCATTCATTCCACCCGATGTCTGCGAAGTCCACCTTGAGATACCTCCGGGAGCACACCCTCGGCTCGTCCCACTGCTTCCTTCGGGCCTTCTGCATCGTCTTCTCATCGAAGTCCAGCACCTGTGAGGAGGCCATGAACAAGTCCTGGCCCTTCTTCCTGCGGTCCCTGCGCCCTGGCCTGGGCTTCAGAGCCCGAAAGGGGCTGGGCCACAGCTCATGTTTGTGGTAGTGCTGTGTGTGGGGGAGCCGTGCCGGCCGCTCGTCCAGCCCTGGCAGCTCGTTGTCCTGGAGGGGCCCGGAGGCCTGTGCCGCCCGGCGCACGCGAGGGTCCACTGAGCTGTTGGGGGCTGCGCGGGGCTCAGGGTCTCCAGCCGGGAAGGGGTCGTATCTCTGCAGCGTCACTGCCACGCTGTTGGGCTCTGAGATGGCCAGGTCGTTGGCATAGACAAGGACATAGGGAGCGTGGGAGCTGGGCCTGGGCGCCTCCAGGTCCTTCTCCCCAGAGTCCAACTGGACGGAGAGGAGCAGCTCACCATCTCGGCGGGCCCCCTTGACGATGGGGGAGATGTCCTTGGTCTGCCACAGGCCGCGCAGCGGGGACGCCAGAGTCATGGCCCCTCGAAGCAGCCCCTGCGTGGCCGTGTTCTGTGAGAGGCTGCGGAACAGCAGGTGCTGGTGCGCAGGTAGGCCCGGCGGCAGCAGGCGGCACGATGCATTCTTGGTGCGTGGCTTGCACAGCAATTCGCGTGCTCGGGGCCACCGCGGTGGTTCAGAGTAGAAATGGAAGGTGGCTGTGAGGATCATTTCCGAGTCCTGCATGGAAGTCAGGTTGAAGAAATACACGGTCTTCTGGTCAACCACATCTGCCAGAGAAAGACAGATCCCAGTTAGTTAGGTTCTCTCCTGGATGGGGTGGAGGACAGACGACTCCTAACCCAGCCTTCCAGCACATCCTCCCCCCTCTGCTTTGCTGTCTTCCTCTCCAGCAATCCTTGCATTACACTGGTGAGGAAATCTTTTGCGATTCTCAAAAAACAGTTGAAAAATTGAGGTTAGAGAGAATAAGGATTGTCAATCCTCTATTGCAAAAAAAAAAAAAAAAAAAGGGCGGAGGGGGTGGAGAGAAGAAAATAAAAAGCAGCAGATTGGGTGGGCATTCAGCCCTTCTGGACCCTAAAACTCCTGTTTCCTTCCCCTGCACTCTACTGCCTTTTAATGCACAAATGAACAAATGTCACTGACACCTTCATTAAGTGCTGGGGATGGCTTGGGCTGGGTCCACATCCTGCCTCAAGGCAGCCCCTCCTGTATTTGCACAGCCCACTATTGTACACAATCAGTTTTTAAATGCAGTTTACATTGAATTTAATCATTCTTCCAAATGAGGTGAAATAAATAGATCCTCTTTTTTATTGTTTGAGTTGGAGTCTCACTCCGTTGCCCAGGCTGGAGTGCAGTGGCATGCTCACAGCCACCCCAGCGTCGACATGCTGGGCTCCGGGGATCCTTCCACCTTAGCCTTCCAAGGAGCCGGAAGTACAGGCGTGCGCTACCACTCCTGGCTAATTTTATTTATCTATTTATTGTAAAGACAAGGTCTTGCCACATTGCCCGGGCTGGTCTTGAACCCGTGGGCTCAGGCAATCCACTTGCTTCGGCCTCCCAAAGTGCTGGGATTATAGGCTGAGCCACGGAGCCTGGCCAGACCCTCTTTTTTGCTGCATTCTGAGCACCTTCTAAACTGAGGTTAAGAGTGCAGCAATTTGAGCATCTACTCTTCGTTCTGCCCCAGAACTTTTAAGAGTGTTTTTTTTTTTTTGAGTTTGAGTCTCACTCTGTCGCCCAGACTAGAGTGCAGTAGCATGCTCCCAGCCACCGCAGCCTCGACCTGCTGGGCTCCGGTGATCCTTCCGCCTCAGTCTTCCAAGTAGCTGGAACTACAGGCGTGTGCTACCACGTCTGGCTAATTTTTTTGATTTATTGTAGAGATGAGGTCTTGCCAAGTTGCCCAGGCGGGTCTCGAACCCGCGGGCTCAGGCAATCCACTCACCTCAGCCTCCCAAAGCACGGGATTACAGACTGAGCCACCAAGTCCGGCTAGGAGTTTTTCTTTTTTAAACAAATAAAGAACATATTGGGATTGCACAAAATCACCTGACAAAATCTCCAAGGTCTAGGTTACTTTCAAGAGATTGACACCGTGGTAAGGACTAGGCTGCTGCAGCCACCACATCTGCAGCTTGGCTCAAGAATCCTCCAACTTCTGCCCATCCTTCCTTTCCAGCATGCTTCCACTAGGTCTTCCCCAGGTCAGCAGAGACTCGGCTGCAGTCCCAAGAAGCTGGCCCAGCCTTGGCAGCAGCATGAGCTCTCTAAGACACCCAAGTGCTCTCTAGGATTGGGGGGGGGGTGTTTCCTGGTGCCTCCCTGGGATGCTGCAGACTAGCAGAAGCCCAGAGTAGATGGAGTAGGTTTTCTCCCTCCCACTGTTTTATTTCTTAACAACCTGCTGCCCAGTGTCCACCTGCTGGGGAAAGCCAGGATGAAAAGAGCTCCCAAGCCCAGGAGTTGTATGTGAGGGAACACTGGGCTCTCCAAGGGGCATGGACTGGGACTATACCTCTCTGACACCAGTGTCTACAGTATCTGTTGGGACTTTTTGTAATCCATATCTTCAGTTTAATATTCTTTGTTTCTATTGGAAAAGAAGCATCATTCAATTGGGAATTTTCATATACTCTTAAGGTACTATGATAGGGGCAAGGGATAAAAGGAAGAAGCACGTCTATGGAGGGCTCGATAAACAAACACTAGTCAAGTCTTAGGCGACATGTTGAAGCCATTAACTTATTTAACACTCACAACAAATCCACCTGGGTGGTGTCACAGACCCTCAACATCCTTCACACATAAGCAGCAGTGTAGGGTCTCAATGCACATTTAAACTTGGCTTTCTAAAACACTGTGGCCTTGAGTGCATGGACTTGAGTCCCACATTTTAACCAGCATCCCAAGGAACTCTAACCATCAGGGAAGTTTGGGAAGCACTGACATTTGACAGCTCACTCATGTGCCAGCATGTCTGTAGTACCTGGGGCTACCTGTGGATGAGGTCAAAGTTCACCAATAACACAGCTCCCATCCCACACCCAACTCAGCTAGAAAGCACCCTAGGAACCAAGTTCCCAGGCGTCACCATGTTCTGAGCCTTGCTCTCCTCATCTGCCTCACAGGAACAACCGCCTCTATCTCATGATTATTTGGAGGATTAAATAAATAGCCTGTGTAAAGTGCCAGGCACAAAGGAGGTGCCCCCAAATGTGCCTCCCTACCACTTGCACCTAAAGGACCAAGGCTGGCAGAGCAAGCTCCTCCTATACCAGTTTAGCCACCCTCCACTCACTGATCCGAATATCTGAACCGTGGCCCAGCTAACAGGGCAGATGTACTTTTCTTTTATGTAGCTCATGTCTCAACCCCTCGATAGATCTGCTAACAGATTCAGAGTGGGGAGGAATCTTAGACATCACACAAAAGGTTAGGAGTCCTTCTCTGTGTGGCTTGAATGCCTCTGGCCAGAGGGTGCTCACCTCTCACTGGGCAGCCTACTCCGTGAAGATCCCCCCTGTTGAGGGTGAGAACTGGAGGTCACCCTGGCCTCAGTGCATGAGGCACAAAGGCTGGCCCTTTCTTTGGATGTGCCAACATGCACGTGGTGCTGGGGCTCCAGGCTGTCACTGAGAGAATAGACATCAACCTGAAGTCTCTGTTTAGAAAAGCCTAGGACACAAAGGAGAAGCTCCAAAGAGAAGTCCTCATTTCCTGTGACTGTGCTGGTGCCCCATGGCCCATGTCTTATAGTCAACAAGAAGAGAGGCTTCTCTCCTCTTCTCTCTCTCCCCTTCCTTCCTTTCTTCCTTTCCTCTTTCTTTCCCCTCTCCCCCTTTCCCTTTTTCTATGCTCCCTCTTTTCCTTCCTTTCTTCTCTTCCTTTTATCCCCAATAAACATATGCAGAACTCCTACTCTGGGCTAAATGTCAGGTTAACTGAGGTCACAGCAAAGGCAGTGAAGGCTGTTCAGGAGGAGCTCAGCCTAGCATGGAGATAGATGGTAATGATGATAACATTCATCTCCAGTGTCCCCTCATGGCAGTTTTACAGACCACTGCTCAAGCGAGACCCCTGTTGTGCTGCGTGCACTCAATCACAGATCACCCCGATTCAGAGACCTCCATTGCTCCCAAATAAAATTCACTCCCTTATCCACCCCCAACTTCATCTACTACCCCCATGCCTCTGCTCCTATCACCCTGGCCTTCTTGTTCTTCTACCTCAGGGCTATGCCTCTCTGTTCTTTCTGCCTTCATGGCTTCCCCTCCAGAAACCACCTGGCCCTCTTTCAAATCTCTGCTCAAATAACACCCCCAACAATGGGTCTCCTTGGCTCCCGTGACTGAAAGGCAGCCTCATCACTTTGCCTCCCCCTGCTTCATTTGTCTTCACAGAACTTCCTGACATCCTGATGTATAGTTATGACTTAGTTGCTCATCTTTCCCCTAGAACGCAAACTCCAAGAGGACAGGAATTTTGCTGCATCCCTAGACCCGAGCACAAGGCCTGGGTACTCAGGGAAATGAATTGAATGATGAAATTCTTGGTGTAATTCCTACCTAAGTAGGGTCTGTTGCTTCAGTTAACACAGGGGGGTTCCTGACCTGCTGCCCTGGAGTACAGTAACCACATCCTTAAGAAGTCCAGAAAGCCTCATTCTTTGGAAAGATACATCTGAGAAGCAAATTCAACTGGAGACACTGGACAGCTGGATCTTCTGTCAGTGACTTCCCCTTGAGCCTCAGTTTTCTCATTTTTAAATAAGAGTAATACTGTTTACTAGTTATGGCATTTTGAACTCCAAGCGTATGTGCTTGACCCTGTGCTGAGTGTTCTGCACGCTTCATTTATCATTTTCACAATGAGGGGAGCAGGGAGGAGTCATTCATTTTGTGGATGAAGAGCTGGAGCTTCGGAGAGAGTCCATAACTTGCCTAAAGGGTAGAGCCGGGCTTGTACCCAGGTGTGTCTGACCCCAATTCTATCCCCTTTGTTCCCCACTGTACTGTGGACGTGATCATGATCTACCTAAGAGTGAATGAACAAAGATCACATGCTGTGAACTGCACCGTGTTTTGCAAACACAAGTCATTATTTGCACGTCTTTGAGTTCTGACTCTCTAAAAAGGAAAATACTTTATGTATGTATGTATGTATGTATTTATAGAGATATGGGATACAAATGAAGATTAACTACATAAATAGGCTACATTAAAAAACATTTATTTAGACAAGCTGATCTCTCTATGGATCTTGGGAATTCTTAGAACCATGACTCCAGGTCTACTCTGTTGGACCCTCAGCCTCCTTTCTGAGGGCAGTAGAGATGGGACTAGGGGAAGGGGCCTCTTAGCTCACGGGTCCCTCCAGGTTCCCTGTTGGTTAACCCTCAGGTCAAAAGTAGCCCCGCAGACACTCTGCCCTATATAAACAGAATCCAATCCATCTGAAGAATTCTCCCCCATCCATTGTCCCTGAAACAGCCATCAGGGAGACCAGAGTGAGAACACTGGGCTGAAGATGAATGAACCAGCCGACACTAAAAGACGGAAGTGCTGGGCCAGCCAGTGGTGCTGCAGAGAAGAGCAGCTCACATGAATCAAGTGTCTACTTCCACTCAGGCTCCAGGGTCGGGGCTTAAATCCTGCTTGCATCACTTACTAGCCATGGGACCTCTGGCAAGGCATGGACCTACTCTGTGCCTCAGTTTTCTCACCTGTGAACTGGACAGAGTATTAATTTATATGAACCT